GTGATGGAAGGGAGCTATTGACTCTGAACACAGTGTAGCAGCCCCAATGGAAAAAATCATAGTGGAATTTACACAAAAGGTCCTTAAAACACTTAAAGCTTGAGATCTTTTCAAAAGGTGAAGTGGGTTAAAATGATATAAACTAGCCAAAGTGGAATCAGATATAGATAGGCAAAACAAGGAACCTTCAAAGAAACAATAACATAGCTACAGATATAAATTATTTTCCATATTATACTTGGAAAGAGTAATTTTTAGCACATAAATATTCTATTAACAGAGTGATTATTTCTTTTCTAAGGATTTCACAAGGCAGAAACTGCATATGTCTAGAAATAGTTGTTATTTTCTTAGCTGGAAAGTATTCCAGACTTAGAAATTGTTCAAACTCAACATTTGGATCTCTGTCTCTCCATCTTTTGGATATGCTTTCTATAAAATATCAGTAGTTGTTTGTTGTATTTAGATTTTGTGTGCTGAAAATTACATCCTGAATCCCTATCAGTCTCTTTCTCTGAACAAAAGTTAACCAAACTAAAGCAGCGGGAGCAAGTGGCCAAGACAAAAACACCTAAGCCAAACCAAATCTAAACAGGAATATCCATAATATTGACATGCAGTTGCAACCAGAGTCAATGCATTGCCAAGTTTTTCTTTTGTCTATCAGAAGTTATGCAAAATTCATTCCCAAGAAAATAGTAACATCTATACAGCCAGGTCATTCTATTTCATAAAGCTATCTGTATAATTATTTCCCACATTTTCAGTTGTGTGCTTAAAAATACTAACTGTAACATAATTTCATTTAGAAGCATACAAATCACAATTTGGTTTAATCAAATAACATTGCATGGCTTATAATGTAATTAAAAAGTAATCTCATATATTTCATGTAAGAACCTTCAATGACTACTAGCAAGTAAAATGATGAATCAACCTTCAGAAACCTCCTTAATTTGAATATGCCAGGGTTTTATTCTTTCAGGTAAGAACTATTTTAATTGTCATTAAACAAGCAAGTGATACATGACTTGACAAATATTAAAACAAGTACACTCAATTATTAATTTGCACTGTTCACTTTTAAATGCAGCAAATATCTCATTAATTTAATTTTAGGTGCCCACCAGTTTATATTGCATTTTACAGTCTGGAAGGCAATTTACTAACTGGCAATTACATACAGAATGATTGTTAATTCTGCTCCTAAGTGCTAGCTGCTTGAAAACTGTTACGTCTCTCTAATTTCTGACCTTCTTACAACAAGGGTGAGGTACATGGGGAATACCGAGGACTAGCAGAGAAGAGCTGGACATGTCATTTGTGACTCATTCTTTTAATTCACCGTGCTAATCAACTGAACTGCCACAATCTCCCCAGGTAATTGTATCTTTACAATAGTTGAAAGCAGCAGGCTAAAAGGCATAGATAGATGGCAACAGACCTTGCCCATCCCTCTGAGAAACAGCGCAGCAATCGCACTCCATGTGACTCATAGAGTCTGGAGTATGGGGTCTTTTAAATGGGGTAGTTTTATATCAACATACACATATCATTTAAATGCCTCAACTTCTGTACTTTGGAAGTTTCTTTTCCACACGACACCCTTGTTTCATTCTTCTGCAGCTTTATTGCCTTTTGTTCCACCTCATGCTGAGAAGGTTAAATGTTAGAATGCCAAGCCAGACTGCAAGCATGGTGGGATGCTGATGAGAAACAGATGCCCTGGGGATTCTACCCCTCCCTCTTATGGGACTACATAATTTTCATATTGTGAAATACAGTGAAGTTTGGCTCAGTTTTCAATGGTGAGCGTAATTTCCAATGATTATCTCATTGTCCCCATCAATTTGGGGGCAATACAAATCAGACTGAAGTTTCCAGGTCAGACAGGCTCTGACCTTACCCTTCCTCTTACTTTCTGTAGCCACGTAGAACCTGAAACGTGTAGTAACTTGTAACTTTTTTATTTGTATGCTTCCAGTAAATTAATTGCAGACAGAGCAGTTTTAGTAACTTTGATTCTCTGAAACGTCATTCTTTCACATCTCTTTGACTTCTTGTGAAAGGGACAAAGAATTCATTGATCATTATAAGAGTGTGGATTTTAAACAGTGGGAAAGTTGACGTGAAAAAAACTAATCAATATGTTAAATTCACCTACTAAGGCTGGATCCTCATCAGTACATGCAATGTCATCAGAACTATTAATTTAGTTTTGAAGTTATTAATCGTTTTGAACTTATTAATTGCTGTTTTTAAAAACAAAACAGTCCTCTACAAATATTGCACTTCCAGTCTAGATCCAGGGTAAGGTCTGCTGCAGAAATTATAGTGAAATATGTCCTTACATACCTCAACTGACTCTCTCTCTCTCACTCTCTCTTTCTCTTTCTCTTTCTCGCTCTCTATAAATGTGTGTATGTGTGTTTTTAATCATCTTGATAACTTAACTATTTAAAGCATAACAACTAGGTTAAGATCTAAACAAATAAATTATGATTTATCTCAATGGAAATTTTTCAATAACCTATTGCTGCTATTTTGTCATGAGGTTACTGGAAGGCTTTCAAGTAACTTACTGTTGGTTGATTGTGACTTACATACATATGCATTTGAAGTCTGGGGCTCAGTCATTTCTGAACACCAGGATGAAACATTTTAGGAATTTAGGATTTAACTAGAATTCTAAGCACAGGCATTTGTTCCTAACCAGACTGATGGCAAAATGGTGACATAATGCTCCACCCTTTCGCACTTGTATTGTGAAATCACATGCAACTATGGAAGGGGCAGAATTTGCATTTAAATATCATGCTGCACGGTCATTACTTGTCCCCTCCTGTAGAAACCTGCATGTGGGATCCAGGTTAAAAAATCAGCCATGATTTTTTAAGATGTCCACAATAAAGACACATAATACTTAGTCAAGTATATAGTCTGATGTATACTATAACCAGTCTTTGCCCATGATTTCTTTTAAAGTCTGATGTGTATTCTTGTTAAAATAATAACCACAGACCATTTTATAATTAATTCCAAATCTTTTCAAATGGGACATTTGGTAAAAAAGTGCTATTCCAATATATTTTCAATCTTGTTGTCATTTTAAGATATACACATTTTCTCTGCTCTACCATTCTTATTTTCATTCATTCTGTTTTTTCCCCCCTGATCCTGCCCTTTATATAGAAACTCTTTAAATGGACATACCAACATTCTGCAGGAATCATATATGACTTTCAGTGCACAACTGCCCACCATAGCCTAAAATGTGCTTAATCCTGTTTTAGATTGTGTAGCATACAAGTCTGAACATAACACACTTGGTCATTCCACTATACCAGCATTTCAGAAATATGCACCCTCAGTTTGTCCTTGGTCTTCCACATGTCATGTATGATTAATAAATAAGTATTTTACATTTGGGCAGTACTTTGGATCTGAGGGCAAAAAGATATTCAGTTTACGAGGGAGTGCAAACATAACACCATAAATCAGCTGTGTCTTTTCCTGGGATCATGCATCCCAAGAAAATATGTATTTGGTTTAAAGATGGGGCTATATACGTGCCCGTTGGTACCAAAGACTCTTTTTATTTTCAAATCGGTACCCTAAAGAATATCCAACATGGAATCGTCACAATCAATTATTACTTCCCTTACTTTGGATATGTGTTCCTGTGTTCATCACATGTCATCAATGCTTTTTTATAGATGTTTACCTAATTCTTTATCTAACAATTCTAATCTAATATTTAGGAAAGATGTTTGAGAAAGTCCATTTCACATTCATTCTGACTAAGTCTCTGAATTACTTTTTGAAAACTTAAACACAAATTAAATACACATTAGCTAATATCATGCTGCCCTCTAAACTATAACAGAATGTATACATACTTTTTATACACTTCTAATAAATACATATTTTTAGACACACACACAATGTACATTTAAATTGCTCATAAACCTCTTACTCTGGAATAAATCTATCAGAATCAGTTCAATTATTCTGGATCAAGTGGCTGGATAATTTAAAATATGAAAGTGACACTTTTTATCTCAATGAAAAACTCTGCTGGAGATATGTTTTTAAGTATTACATACCCAGATTTAATATTTCCCATAGCCATAGAAAGCTTGCCAATAAAAATCTCTCCCTCACACACACACGCACAGACAAAATATACATATGAACAGCACAACTCGTAAACTATTGTGTACATTATTGATTACATGCTCCTCCTGACGAAATTGTCAGTAGAAAAAATTATTATAATTTATGTCTACATTTGCCTTTTCAATCTAGTATGTTATTTGGGTTATTTTTTAAAGTAAAAAATAGTTTACATTCAAAGAAGTTACAGTAATACACATTCATAATAATTACTGTAACTACAGTTGGTACCCACAATATTTACAGTGAGGTCTAAGCTTATGAGATATTTTGTTGTTAAACAAACATATTTAAAACATAATATTCTGTAATCACAGACCACAGTATGCATTCATTAATTTGAACAAAATGTAAACTTGACTGTCTTACTGAGGCTCAAAATAGTTTGATTAACTCTTTCAGAGAATGCTATGTCTTAAGCCTGCACGTCTATATTCTATAGTAACTTGGGTCAGAGAAGATATGTATCTATAACTGTAGCTCTGTAAAAAGAGTTTTAACATTTATTTTTTGCTATGTTATGGAGTTAGGTTTGTTGATACCGCATTAGTCCGTATAAAATTTCTGTAGAGCCTAATTAATTAATAAATAAAACAATAAGCTTTGTTTTAAATTAAAATGTACTTGGAGTGGAATTTTTTTTTTAAAAAAAATATTTACTCTGAATAAATACAGAGTTAGTGGAATATGGAGTTTCTTTCCTGATGCATTTTGAGATTGACTCATCATTTTAAAGCTATTAACAGAAAAGGACAAATCTTTCAGTTTTCCTGCATCCTTAAAACATGCAACATTCAACTCAGACGTATCAAAGAAACAGTTACCGGTATAGACAAACCGTCCAGGAGCACCTTTACAGAACTGTTTGGACTTGTAGGAAAGGGTTACTTCAACAACTCCAGGAATGTGCCGTGGTGGAGTTTGAACTCTGATGGCATGGGGCGTTATCAGCTATAAAAATTATGTAATAAACACAATTTTAGTCAAAAGTATAGTGATAATACTCACATTTCTCAGTATGATAGAATTAGCAGAATGAGTCTAAATTGGACCACCTTATCAAAATGCTGCTGTCTTGCTGTTACACCACAAGATAAGGATATTACCAGAGATGTTGTTAAAAAATGAAAATATCTCTAATGATCCTTGGTTTTAATTTGCCGGAAAGGCCACAGGGCATCATTCATATGAAAATTGCCTCCATATGTTTCCTTAAACCCGCTCTGAGTAATTTTTAAAATTGTCCAGTTGTATCTAGAAACTCCCCCAAACAGGCCTTCCACTAGAGGGCCATGAAGTGCCTTGTGTACATTGTCCTATGTTCAGCCCAATGCCACATGTGAATTCAAAGTTCTTATAAAAGAACTTTGAAATAAGACATCATGATACCATATATCAATAAACTTCAATCAATAAAGCCCCTCCCCACAAAGTATATTTCAGAACAACATTCATCCATAACTTACCTCACTCCACACTAACATAGTTCCAAAAACAACTTGCAAGCCATCAAAGAAGTTGTCGCCAATTATGATGACTGTAGCTCCACCAGTTGTCCAACCTTCACTAGGGCTAATTGCCTTTATACAAGGTGTAGCTGCTTGTACAAACAGAAAATTGAGAATTTAGTTTCTCTCCTTTTCTGATATCAGGTTTTGTAGTTTTGTGAATGATAAACCATGCAAAGCAGAGGAAGAGAGTACATGATCCCATCAGGAAGCATAGAAAAGGGCAGTCATATATCAGTATGTTGATGTATTTAAAGAAAATTATTAAATGTTTTAAAAAGAGAAGGCAAGCAGCAAAATAGCAGCAAAAAAAAAAAGCGGTTTGATTCTGCAAATTATGTGTTGGGGCAAATATGACTATTACAAATGATTAAGCATCACATGCACGTGGCATGTTGATTTATCTGCTTTTCTGTTCAGATCTAAGCTGAGTCAATCAAAAGGCTGTTGAAAGAGATGGAAGAGCAAATGCTCTGAATTTCGATTCCTCATAAGCAGCTAATTGGGTTAGGTTTTTTTCATCTGCGAACTTTGCTTTTGGTTCAAAACTTCATTTTCCTCTGTCGCTCCATAATTACTACTTTTCAGTTTTCATCAAGACAAAAAAATCAAAAGCACTATATTAATACTTTTGTCAAAGGTACACATTTTACATCTAATATTGTTTGTCGACATGAATCCCTGAGCCATTTCTTTGACCCCTCTTTGTCTCTAGAGTCCTCACATTTGCATGAGTTATTACAATG